TAGACTCTGGGGACTTTTGAAGTTGGACCGAATGCATTTTGCATCATGATATTGCTACAAGCCTATGGGGATTAGGGAGTGGAACGTGATGGTTTGAATAAATAAGACCCCACAGCCTCATATATTTGAATGATTGTCATCAGGGAGTGGCTCTGTTTAAGAGAGATTTAGAGGGGTCTCCTTGTTGGAGTGCGTGTGTCCTGGTTTGAGGCTGTGTGTCACTGTGGTGGGCTTTTTTCAAAAGTCCAACCCAGGCTTAGTAGCCCCCACTCTTCCTGCTGCTGAGGATCCAGATGAAGAACCCCCAGCAACTTCTCCAGCACCACATCTGCCTGCATGCTGTGACACTGTCCATCATGATGATAATGGATAAACCTCAGAATCTGTAAGCAAACCCCAATTAAATGCTCTCTTTTATAAGATTTTCTATGTTCGTGGTGTCTCTTCACAGCAACAGAACACTGACTAATATAGCTTCTTATTTATTTCTTATCTGGAAACACCATGGTTAATCCAGTACCAAGTCCGTGTGACTCATGCCACCATTAAATTACCTTTGCCTGTGCTGACCATTATATAACTGTGATCACCTTGTCTTTAGAATTCCATGCTGCCATTTGTCCCTGACACCTTTGGACCCAATGAACCCATTGTCTTTAATTCGTCCAGCTGAGCTGCACTGAGCAGCAGTATCCCAACCCTAAGTTCTGGCTCAAGCAAAAGGTTGACAACAAAACTCTTGAAACTTGCTGGTGCCCCTCATCACTGTGTCTGACAGGATCTGTGAAGGGTGTGTCTTCTGGACTTCCCATTGTGGAGGGTTAGGTTTTACACAGCACACTCACTCCAGCACTGCAATTTCCCTGAGCCTCAAAATCCCTTCATCAACACTGAGCCAAGGGATGTCAGGCAGCTCCAAGTCCTTTTCAGAAGCCCATCTTTGATAAGTGTTTCAGACAAACATTCAAACAAACTTTTGTCACCTTTCTAAACTGTGAGCGCTTTCATACAGAATCTAGAATCTGCACTTACAGGGCCCATATCAATAAACTAGTGTGACCCAGTTTTAGGTTCCTTCCACCATTATTCCACAGCCTTGAAATCCATTCCCACACATTCCCCAGACTTCCGCTAGAACAACTTAGTGAACTTTTGAGCTCTTTAGCTGTGCAGCACATCCCCTCTGAGATTACACTTGCCACCTCCCCTGTAGCTGTCAGCCTTACCTGCAGTCTGGTTAGAGGTCCAGAGGTAACTACTGCTGGGTCCTGAGGGAGGTCAGGATGTCCTATTTGACAGTTCCTACAGAGAAAAGTCCCTGCTGGTTAACAGACAGTGAAGGATGAATTTGCTAATCAAAGGTGAAAAAAGCCAGCATTTCAGGTGTTGGGGCTGAGGGTGAAGAGACTGCTTTCTCAGGTGAGATAAACCCTCCAGAATCTGAGGGTTCAAATTCTCAGCTTCAGTAGCACACATCCTCATCCCAAGTTACAGGATCCTGTTTTCACCAATAAATTCCCTTACTAAATTTAACTGCTGCTTGAGAGTTCTAGAAACGTCCCTGGGTCCATGCTTTGCAACCTCTTTTGGTTTCCATGAATTTGCTTCCTCCCTGAAAGAAAACAAGATGCTTTCTGCACACAAGTTATAAGTTTGATGAGGGCAGGGCAGCCTGAGACTGGAGACCCTTGGAGTCTGGTAAGCTTGAGCCTGTGGGGCAGCTCAGCCATACTTCCCCCTTCAGTCTCACCCTCTGTGGGCTCAGGACAAGTCCTGTTGTTTTCTTCACCGGGTTGAACTATTGCCCTAGACTCTGATGCTTCTCTGTCACATTAAAAAGACGAGACCTGGAGAGATGAAGAAAGAGGGAAGATGGGGACAGGGGCCATCACTATCTACAGGAACTCCCTGGATGCTGGGGATGCCATGGTCTTTTAGAAGTTACCATTTAAGTGACTGATTAAATTTTTTTGTTGTTCAGTGGAAATTAAAAACTATCACACAGGGGGCTGGAGAGATGGCTCAGCGGTTGAGAGCACTGACTGCTCTTCCAGAGGACCAGGGTTCGATTCCCAGCATTCACATGGCAGCTCACAACTGCCTGAAAAATCCAGTTCCAGGGCGATCTGACACCTTCACACAAATGCACATAAAATAAAGTTAAATAAATCATAGAAAAATTAAAAAACCTATCACACAGCTCAAGTGCAAAGAGGAGCACAAGAGTGTCTTCTTCCTGGAGTGAAGCTGTGACCCGCTGTGCAGAGCAGGCATATAAAATGAATTTGTGTTTTTAATTTTATACTGCTTTTCATTTTTTTCAATTTCAGCAGTCTATTTCAATCATCAGATCCTGTCCTGTTTCAGAGCTGACGTCATCGACTGGTGGTACAATGTTGACTCAACTGCCCTGTGCACTCAGCCCCTGGGCCTCACACTCTTGATGTGTAGGAGAGAGAGGGGGAGCCATTAGAGCAATCTTTAAAACGTATTTTTATTAGATGTATAGTTTGTGCATATGAGTATGCAGGTGCACCAGGAACTGGATCCCCTGGAATTGGAGTCACAGATGGTTGTGGAGCACCACGTGGGTGCTGGAAACTGAACAGCAACAGGTGCTCTTAACCTCTGAGCCATCTCTTCACCCTCTTTTGTAGCTTTTACATAAGGAAACCACACAGCCTGGCTCACAGCAAGATGGCTGACCACAGAAGGAAACTAGATGCAAAGGAGGAGACAGTGTTAGTGCAGAGCTCTGGAGTGAGGGGTGCTGGGCACTGCTGGGGTGAGACCTGAGGGAGAAGAAGAAGGGTTCAGCAAGAGGAGACAGAAGCAAAGGGGGAGACCCTAGTGTAGTGGGGTCCTCCTGCTTGAGGGTCTTTGTCTACAAATCACAGTGGACACATCTGCAGAACCCTGCAGGGCATCTGACATCCCACACTGAATACTATGGGGGTTTGAATGAGAATGACCACACAGGCTCAGGGGTTGGATGCTTCAGCTCCAGCTGATGGAACTGTTTGGGAAGGATGAGAAGGTGTGGCCTCATTGGAGGAGGTGTGTTGCTGGGCTGTGCACAGAGGTTTTAAAGACTCCCACTATTCCCAGTGTCTCTGACACTTGCCTGTGGATCACGATGTGAGCTCTCAGCTGTTCCTGCCACCACAGCTTCCTCTGCCCTCATGGACTCAAACCCTCTGAAACTTAAGCCTAAATTAAACACTTCCTTGTATAAGTTGCTGGGATCACAGTTCTTATCACAAGCATAGAAAAGTAACTAAAGCCAGGTATAGTGACACAGTCTTTAATCCCAGGACCTGAGATACAAAGGCAGGTGGGGCTCTGTGAGATCAAAGCCAGCCTGGTCTACACAGTAAGTTTCAGGACAGTAAGAGCTATGGACACAAACCTTGTCTCATAGAACACCAGGGGGGACCTGCAGGTCAGACTCATTTCATCCTCCCCTCACCCTTCCTCTTCCTTCTCTCCAGTAGTCAGACCCTGAATCTTCTAAGAGAAAAGTCACCTCCAGGAACACAATGGCAGCAACAAGCAGTTTGGGATGCAGGGCAGAGATGCTTCTCTTTAAAGCAGAGGCACTGGCCTGCAAGCACCACACAGACTCCCACAGAGACCAGGCTCCTGTGTTCACCTGCAGTGGGCGGCTCACACTGCCAAGGTGATGCTCAGGGATCTCACCTGTAAACAGAGACTTTGCCTCTTCACTCGGGATCGTGTCTTCACAGCCTGGTGCTTACACTCAGACTCCTAGTGTTTGTTCCCAGACCTGTGACTCCAGGTGCTTGTGTTTACACAGATCTTCATTCCATAGTCCTGAGACTGTCCGTGTGGACCTGGGTCATTGTCTCAGCACAGTAGACCCCTTCTCCATGGGAAGAGACCTCTGTGGAGACCAAATACAGCAGGGCACTGACCCTGTCTACACTCCACGTTTCCCTGTGTGCACACACTTCCATGGTGCAGCTGCTTTAGTGAATAAACCACAGTCAGAGAAGAACTGGAACTAATAATAAAGAGAATAATGATGATAACTCTTTCTCTCTCTCTCTCTCTCTCTCTCTCTCTCTCTCTCTCTCTCTCTCTGACCTTCAGTCCCACTTTATGAGCTGATGAGATGAGAGATGAATGTCGCTGTGTGTGGGACACTGGATCTGATAACAGAGTTGGCTCCTGAGTTCCTCAGTTCTGTGCAGTGTGGACACTGGACAGAGGGTGATTTTAATGGCAGGGTGCACACTGGGGATTTAAGGATTCACCCCGTTCAGTAATGTGTGGAAATTCATATTTATATATTTTTTTGTTTTGTGGATTTTGGCTTGATATCTTTAAATGCCAGTCATGCATAGCTGAACTAAGAAGTAAAAGCAGAGGTGAGCAGGGTCTCCTTCCTGCAGAGTCATATAACACAGTGTGTCGAAAGTGCTTGACCAGAGCTGTGAAAAATCCAGTCACAGACCCACGCACTCTCCAGGGCTCAGACAGCACCAGTTTCTGTGAACATTCTTTGTTGTTGTTGTTTGTTTTTCTAGACAGGGTTTCTCTGTGTAACAACCCTACTTGTCCTATAACTAGCTCTTGTAGCCCAGGCTGGCCTCTATCATCTCACAGAGATCTGCTACCTCTGCCTCTCAAGAACTAGAATCAAAGCCTCCCCCCCACCACTGCCCAGCATGGACATTCATTTAAAATGAATAAATGAATAAAGTGCTGTGTGTCTTTTTGCTGGAAACTTCATGCTCTCAGGTTTCATTCTGACTAACCTGAGGAGCAGTTGGCCTTAGGAAGCTCAGAGACACATGACAAACAGCGCTCCATCCCGCACAGGGCTCAGGCAAAGTCTTAGTCCCCAGGAGGGTGAGGTCTGGGTGGACAAGCATGTCCCCAGTTTCACTTCTCCAGTTCCTAACCTGGGTGAGGTCCTTCTGCCCGGAAATTGATGACAACTTGGCGACTCTCAGCCCCATTGGGTGGCGAGATCCAGGAGAAACAACCAGCATCGTCCAGATTACAGGTTATAAAGTCCACGGAGTCGGCGGAACTCAGAGTCGTCCCAGATCTGAGATGGGGGCGATGGCGCCTCGCACTCTGCTCTTGCTGCTGGCGGCCGCCCTGGCCCCGACCCAGACCCGCGCGGGTGAGTGCGGGGTCGGGAGGGAAACCGGCTCTGCGGGGAGGGCGGGGGCGGCACCGGGCAAGCCGCGCCCCTACCTTGGCCCAGCCGGACCCTCCCGCCCCTTCTCCACCCGCGTTCCGAGCCCCGCGCCTGCTCCCCTCCCGGCCCGCGCTCCTGCCCGGGGTCCCGGGAGCAGGGTCGGGGTCTCACCGCGCGCCGCCCCCAGGCTCGCACTCCATGCGGTATTTCCACACCGCCGTGTCCCGGCCCGGCCTCGGGGAGCCCCGGTTCATCTCTGTCGGCTACGTGGACGACACGCAGTTCGTGCGCTACGACAGCGACGCGGAGACTCCGAGGATGGAGCCGCGGGCGCCGTGGGTGGAGCAGGAGGGGCCGGAGTATTGGGAGAGGGAGACACAGATTGCCAGGAGCAACCAGCAGACTTTTCGGGTGAACCTGAGGACCGCGCTCGGCTACTACAACCAGAGCGAGGGAGGTGAGTGACCGCGGTCGGAGGTCACGATCCCTCCGCATCGCCCCAGAGTAGCCCCGGATCCCAGGTCCGAAGTTCGGGGAGGAGAA